ACTGCCCTTAGCACCGGCCACAGTTGATTGGGCAACACAAATTCTACGAGGCCCTCTGCGGGGTCACCACGAATGTCTGCTCCAGCATCTTCGAGAAAGTCGGCAGGAGAATCTGACGCGAGCCTGCAGTTCAACGCTTCTGCCAGAGCAACCTCCGGAATCCCCAACGAACCATGTTGCTTCGCAGTCATGCCAAGGGCTTCTTGCTTATGCGCTGTCTGGCACTGTCTCTCCAGAAGCTGTTCCACAGACAGCCTCTGCGACGCAGTGCCCTACGCGTTCCTGCGTAGAACCTGCAAGCGCCTCTGTTGTTCCGCTACATCCGGCTTCAGGCCAGCCCATAGCGGAAGCACCATTTTTGGGGGAGCTGGATCTCGAGCCTCTTACTCATGCTTCCGAATCTCCTGCACCCCTTAATTCACCCTACAACGATGCGCCTGAAGAACACGGGGTTGCCAAGGAGTCAACACACGGTGACGCATCCTGGGCAGAAGAGACTGACAGTCTCAATGGAGGCATTGCCATGTGCCAGAAAAAAAGACCTACCTCTGGACACAATGTTGCGCCCTTCGTGGCAGTGGAGCATTCAAAGCCTGGCATTGTGAGTGGTGATGGACGACGGGGGCCAGTGGATGCTCCACCCATCCAGCCTTCGCAGCGTCAAGCAGACAACTGCGCGCTGCAGTGTCATCCCGAGCTGGAGCCACAAGCTGAACGGCCTAAAACGTTTGCTCCACCTTCCAGGCATTGTAAGAAGCATGATGCTTCAGTGAGGATTCCTACGTCAGCACATGTACGTGCCTACTGGGCTCTTCAGAGGTGCCATGGTTCACCGGCAGGAGCTGTGGACTCTCTGCCCGTACTACCTAGAAGCGTCCCGGCAGCTCAGGCTCCGAACTTTCCGTCCCTTGGTGTCAGAGCAACAAACTTGCAGCAGCTGTTTGGAGTCGTTGGGGAGTGGCAGAAGAAAGACAGTACGGTAGAACCTAGAACGGCATTCTCTCCACCCTTGCGGAGTAGGTCGTATGCTCCAGCGGAGGAATCCCAGCCACCTACACAATGCAAAACTTTCCAGCCAGGTACGCCGATACCACTGCAGCATCCGCATTCTCCATGTTCCAGTTCATTGGAAGGCAGCCCCATGACGACATCGCTTTGCACCATTACCATTCCCGAAAAGGCGTCAGGAACCCCTTTGGCCTGCACGTGGCAGAGTGCACCAGCTTGCAGATGCTCCCCAAACTGGGGATCTCCCACTTGCTGTACCTACTCGCGTCCTCAGTGGGAGTCATTGAGTGGTACTCCCAAGTCAGAGATACGGGCCTGCCAGCCCAACGAAGAGAGTGCAAAACCATTGGATCGCCAATCCGAGTTAGGGGCGACCCCGACTCCAAAACTCGCACCAAAATCCAGTGTCGGCGGGCCTAGCTTTACTGCTGGCAGTGAAGTTCGAGGCATAGAATCCAGCATCGCAAAGTTACGCTTGGCTGGTCCTAGGATTCCTCTTCAGAAGTCCTCACAATTCTTGTTGCCTGTTACACCTGAACCCTCGCCAAGTGTTTCAATATACTCTGCGAGAGAAAGCAGCTCCTCTGGGAGTGCTCTGCTTTTCAGCGATAACCCCGACGATGAGAGCGGGTCAGTCCTGTGTGGCGTCATGTCCGGCACTCAGCAGCCGGAGATAGCCAGTCGACCGCAGGATGCAGATACTGCGGGAAGCCATGATGGAACGTCGCCTGTTTACTTAAGCCCCCTTGTGGATATTACACAGAGGCACCGAGGCGATACTGGAAGATTGATAGTCGCGTCACAGGCATCTCGGACCGTGGAGTCGCGAATGTTGAAACGGGTGGTGCGATCCCTATGCAGCTCAGTGTCAGGTACTAACAGCTGTTCAGAACAGCGATTGCTGGAAAAGTGCGATTCGGTATCCCAACCAACTCGTTCCAAGCGATTCAACAAGTACTATTCTCGGACACAGCGACAAAACGCCGAGCCACTACAACGCGAGTCAGAAAAGTCGCATTGCGTTGGCTTCAGGCGGCGTGTAAGCCGGCGGCTGCTCCCCCATCGTTACCCTTCAGTAGCGACTCCCCCCTGTACAGCAGCAGGTATCCCAAAGCCAGCAACGCGACGGCGCTATAGACGAATGCTCCATTATCGCCGTCGTACTGGGGCGGATCCAGGTTCGCGGTTCACGGTTCCAGAGAATACGGGGCCTACAAGTAACAGCGGTTGCGAAGTGTACATGGATGACACCGGAACTGCACGAAAGAGCGGAAGCTTGTCGGAGATGCGGGGGTACTCTAGACGCTTAATTCGACTGCCAATCTCGTTTTCTCATGGAGTAAGGCGCGGAACTTTTGTGTTTGCGAGGTACATGCAGGGCAAGACCTGTAGTTCCGAGAGTGCGTAGGAACGCGCTCCCAATGGACTCACTAACTTTTTGACAAAGTGTTGGGATAACTGTTACAACTCGCGTTGCTGAGGCCAGATCTCATGATCTCTGTGCTTAGCTGAAAAACCAGCACATGGCGGCCACACAGAATGCTCTCCCTAGCAATTTCTGCACGGTTATGCAAGTACAGCGCCAACAGCTTATGTGTATTTCATCCTTATTCGACTTTGTGTCTTACAGTATTTGTTATAGCTTCCGCAATATCATCGAGGCAACAGGCCCACATGTTTGCTGTAGATTCCCGTTGTGCCGTGTTTGTACTGAATGCAATTAGTGCTGCCCTGTTCGGTCGGTCGTGCATTCAGTGCACCCAGAGAACGCTTCTCAGCTGCGGAAGAGTTTTGAGGCTTGTGTTCCCGAGACCACCAGTTTCATATGGTTGTCCTGGCTATCAAGCCCTGCTCTTGTCGCTTGTAGGAAGCTGATTGTGTAACTCCTAGGGTTTGTTGATGCGTCACCCCCATGCGTGTTGTATCTAAATACTCCCAGGGCATTTCGTGAGCATTGTGAAGCAATCCCTTTCCTATGGTGGTGCTGATGACGAACGATGGAGAGCAATGATGGGCACTGTTATGTGCTCCGAGCAACGACCTGCTCGCGCTTTCCTGTGCCCCTTGCAGCACCCCGCTGCTCAAATCTACATTTTTTCCAGGCAAATCCACATGCTCCCCCTCCGTTTTTACTATGGCGCATTACCCCCTATGTTCAAAGTACCGCGTTGGGCCCAATGGTTAGTGGGCTGGGCCCCGCATAGGACATATGCACATCTGCAATCGACTATGGTTGTCAACGCTGGTACTTGTTGCACGCTGACAAAGATGTAATTCAGTAGGAGTCTGATACGACGAAACATTGACGCTTTGCACTTAGTCGCGATGGCGACGCTATTATTATAGAATTGACCCGTTGCGAACTGCCAAAAATACACCGTTGCTTCTCCGCTAGCGCATTAGGAGGCTGCACCTGTCAGACTCATACTAGCATTACTACCTTCAACAAACTGTCGGATCATTTACCCTAGTCCGGGAAACTGCGGCCTTGTAGCCGTATATTCCGTTACCAGCGGCTAACTGCCAACCAATTTTCCTAGCTCCAGTCCTGTAGTACCGATGAATTGGTATTTCATACTAGTAGCTACCAGAATATGTGGGTGGGCACTGGGTCACCCACGCTCTGCCTCTGGCCCATGCCCCTCAGCTTTTTCTAAATGAGCGGAGAAGGACAGCTACAGTTCGTGTTACTGCACATGTTGAGCACTCAGAGCTAGCTGCACATGGCATCCGTATACGAAGGGCGAAATCCCGAAGTTCTTTGTGTTGTTCCCGTTGCATCTTTGGCATATAGTCAGTTCTCGATGAGCCTTGATGTGCAATGTGGCGTTACTCGTAGAGGGCAAAAAGCGAACTGCTTGGATGCTGGTAAAGTGGTGGCCATGGGAAAGAGAAGCACTTCACAAGGATCGATGTAGTGGGCATGGCGTGTCAGCCAGCACACGGACGCTCAGGTACTTCGTGCCAGAATACGCGCAGTACTGCTATACCGGTTGGTGCTGCAGATTTTTCGCAGATGGAAAGAATTCTGAACACCTACACCAAACCAGTCTTAGGACCTTGGTAATACTCGCGGAAACCGAAATGCACGCAAGGGAGCATAGCCCATCAGATGGGCGGGGATGGAAGGGCAATATAGAGGTCGTTTTCACTTGTTACTCAATGGTAACAGACATGCCAGCGGAGCTTGTCCACTTGTCCAGAACCCTAGAAAGGCTTCCATTTGGCGAAGTTCCAGGTGGAATGTAGCGCTTCCTCTACGTCTCCGTAGGGAGACGCTCAACTGCAGACTCGATAAAACCTGATAGGAAGCTATTTATTTTATTCAAAAGGACTCCCGCCTTCCCGCTCTCCGCGCTCCTCAGGGTTCGAGAGATTGGGGGAGAGGGACAGCTAGGGCGCCGCTACGTGCAATCATTCAAATTTACTGCAACAAACCATCTACAGTCGCTTCGTTAGTTTGGGGACATATTTCCACCGCCAAAACTCGACGGCTCTTCCATGGGAGGAAGGGAGAAAACGAAATCGTCACCTCTCCTGGCCCTGCCTGCGGTACGTGAGGTATCCAGGAACCCGACTTGAGAGGAGCACTTAGAGCCAAAATGACTTCCGGACTGCCAGGAGGAAATCCTAGCTCTACCTCCATGAGCGGAGGTTGTAACGGTCGCCTTCTCACTTGCCAAATACCTTTGAAAGTGTAGCTGACCATGGGGCAGAAGGAGGGAATGCGTAAGGTTGCTAGGCGGTCGCTAGACAGGTACAGGGAAAGGTGCTTGCCACTATGCAGAGCATCCCATACTCGAAGGAAGTCTGTTGCTGCACGAGGACCAGCAGCTGCTCTCACTGATTCTGCAGCTGAATCCCTTTCAGATGTGCCTGCTGTATGCCCTTCTGGTAGATCCTGCAATTTTCCTCGGAGGGACCATTCCCCTGATAACGATGCCTCGGAAAACTCGGGGGGTGGCGCAGCCCAGAAAGGTATTAGAGCCAGCGGCAGCTGAGGTGGCTGCAAGGTACAATCAATGCTAGAGCAAGACGATAATGTGGGGCTTAAGAACTTGGAACTAACTCGCCGACGTGCCTGGTTCGACACGGCCGCTGCTGGAAACGGGTGCCGGCAAAAACGTGGCACAAGTGCTGCAGACGCTCCTGCTGTGCAAAGGCACACTGCTGCTGCAAAAAGAACGAAGACAGCTACCGCTCTAGGACAGCAGCGGGCTGGATTACAGCTTCTTAAAAATCGAGCTTCCAACGAGCCCACGATGCTTTCCATCTGTTCCGTGCTGCATCTAGAGATTGCTCCGCCGGACAAAGCTAAATCTGGAGCACAAATGTGCCCCTGGCGGTTTGCAGTTGATAGCCGTAGTTTGCCGGTAGTTGCTGTGCTACGTATTCGGCGCCCCCCTACCATATGGAGAAGGACAGCACGAAAAAACAAGGTGGTGTGACCTGTTTTGCCTTTAAGGACGTTGCTGAGATGTCTGCCATATTCCACTAGCTGCATACATGCCCATCCATAGACGTATTATAACCATGGGAGAGTGGAGGGGTAACTTTCATTAGAATGTTGGTTTTATCTGTTAGTGAGCGCGCACAAGTCCTGGTCACTGCACCTGTTGACTTCAATGCTAATGTCGATGAACTGTGCATGGAAGCCCGGTGAAGAAGTTGAACAGATTCGCTTTCCAAGTGAAAAGCCAAAACACACTATATTTCTGGATGTGGAATCTCTTCGGCGGTACAACACGGTGGATGAGGTAGGGCTGCATGTTCGATCCCCACTGCTACGAAACATGCGCAACTGTCTTGCCCCTTTAAAAATTTTCACAGATACACAATAAATCGTGCCTTGCCATGATATATCTATGCATCTCACTTATTACCAAATTCTACAATAGTGTTCTGTACAAGAAGGAAGGTGCGCAGGAGCTTTATTCGTGACAGGAATGCTCACGAAAGCTGTTCGTGTCGCAGCTCGGGTCGCTTTTCAGGAGACACTCTTAGACTTGCAGCAAAAGCCGCATAACCCATTCAAGGGCGTAAAAACAGGCAATCCATATTGCAGCCGCTGTGATGTTTTGCCCATTTGTGAGGTGAGCCCACACTGAATTTGTGCACTCTGCAGCTGGGCAAGCTACGCTGAATGAGTTCATCACCTAGGGTTTTCGTATAAGAAACTACCTAAGCTTTGCTCGCATGGCTCTGTCGCCCTCATACGATCCTTTTTCTATCGCAGGGCTAGCTTTTTTGTGCAAACTGCACGGTGGTCGATGTGCTCACTTTATCAACTGGCATGCAGATGTCTGGAATGCACGGGGCTAGCAACTACTAACAAATTAGTTTTCAGATCACCTTTCAGGTTGGAATCATGTAGAGTGATATTAAGTAGCGGGGAAAAGTCGCAGCCTTTAATTTAGAAAAAAAGTAATTGCCTCGTAATACTCCAGTCAAGGTCTCCGTAGGGAGATATCAAACTCCACACTCAATACAAACCTAATAGGAAACTGTCGAGTATTTGCAAAAAAAATCTTGCTTCCGTCTGTCGATGCCCCTTCGAGGTCTAGAAATCAAAGGCGACGGACACCTAGAATGCGCGAAGCTGCACCCTACGGGCTTTCTGATCATTCAGAGCTTTTTGCCCATCGAGTCTAGCGCAGACGCGCGCAACACTGCATTTCCTTGTGTCCCATAACCGCTACTCTGCAATAAGCAGTTGTACACATAAAGCACCCAGCTGTCCTTGAAAATTCTATTAAGGCTCCCCATAACTCGCCTTTGCAGCCCAACTATGGCATTAAACAGTTCTAGCGTCATACCGGTGTACTTCATTTAACGAGAACGAGGGGGGGTTATCGTTCTGCGTCTGTTGCCTGGGTGAATAGGGAGCTTGTGAGAAAGTTTTATGAAGACAATGCCGAGGAGAGCGTGCTCCGTGTATTTTCTCAGATACTAATTGACCAATATGAGGCATCAGGTAACCTCGCTTCACAATAATCCTGTTCGGAATTTAGAGCTCACTCACGTGCTCCACCTTCCGTCCTTTTCTGGCACCAGCACCAGGTCATGCCCAAAAGCGCTGGTACAATGGCCACACTTCCCCTCTTTGAAGAATCGCTTGCCTGCCCCTCAATCTCCTCTACCAGCTATGAGGCTCCTGTGTTCTTTCTGGCTTGGAGACCGGCCTCTGGCACCTCGACAGGCTTTTGTGCCACCGTATACTTTCATTGTCACGTGGTATTTCCCCAAAGTGTTGCCAAGGAAGATCAAAGTACTGAATTTTTAACTACTTTGATCGATATGTGGCTGTTGTTGCAGGGAAGCCTGACATCCCACTGCATCTACAACCAGTGCATGAGCAGTGAGCGGCTGCATTGAACCATGCGGTGCTACCAACTCCACCGTCGCATCCCAAATCTCCATATTGCCACACTAGCCTCTCCAATGAATACGTGCCTAATAGAGCGCTATTGAGTGTTCCTTGAACGAACTCCCGCGTTCTCGTGCCTCCACCCTCAAAGTTCCAGACACGAAGGGACCGAGACAGCTATGGTGCGCGCAGCAGCAGCCTCTAAGCACTCCAAGCTTTCTAGCTAGGTGCATGTACCACTAGCGCACATGCAAATAACTTTGTGTCTCCTTACCACAATTTATCGCTGCTCTGCAGTATGAAAGATATATGAACAAACAAACCAAGCAGTCGATTCCTTTTTCATTCTCATGTGATATAAGTATAACGGAAGAAAATGTAGCTTAGTCTGATACATTTCTGGAGATTTGAAGCTCTTCAGGGGCTGATGACCGCTGTATGGTGGCCATCGAAGGAGTGCTAAATATGGTCTACCGGGCCAACTTTACCAACGAACAGATAGTAGAGAAGCTCTTTGAGGCGACCTGCTTTAGTCTAAATGACCGTGGTAATAAGAGACAATAGTTGGAGGTCTACAGCAGCCACGTGATGCCCTATAGAAGAAAGCTGGAGTCTTCTGCAGCTCACCAATATTCAAGCCTAAAAGTGGGAAGGCTAGATGGGAGTGCTTAGTACCACAAAAAAGTAAAACAAGTTAAACTGAGGGGGATAAAAGAGCCTCTCGCTTCCACTTGAGATATACTGTTCCGATTATGCTGGGAAAAAGTACTAGATACGTGCTAGAATGTGCAGCACAGCTCTGGTTGATGGCGCCTGGGCAGCTAACACAGCACAAGATGCACTGATATTCGTGAAGATTCGAATTGTGTAGTTCAACAGAGCTGGTGCGCTCGCGTTGTTGCGGTGCAGTTGACACCTTCAGAGGAAATTTCTTTGTTTGAAGGAGCTTCAAGCGTAAACAGGACTCGCAGGGACTAGGGTTTGGGGCTCCAATGCGCAATACATTATGAATATACAGGCAAGGAGGCATGAACCCACAGATGCGGCCGAAACGGCAACCCAAGAGCAGACCCCGAATGGCAATCTTCGACGATCAAATTGCTCTTATGCCTGTAAAAGGGCGGCTTGCATTGACTCTTGACCAGCCTTATATTGACAGGAGTTACCTTGAAGTGCACACTTCCCCGTGATCTGCGTCTCTTAACCATTATGGGTAGGTTATTCGGAAATCAGAGCATGAATGGTCACGAACGGAGGGCCTCGCATGACCGTGGACACCTGGAGACTCAGGAATATCATGGACGTTCCTCAGCGCATTTGGTAATGACTTTCACACGAATAATCTGGAGCACCCTGCACCCAATAATTGTTTTATTCTGGTCGCTTGAAAATTGCCGAAATATGACGCTGTATAGACTTGCCTTCAGTAATAGGACTGCAGGAGCAGTGAACACTGGGTTAAGTGTAATGGCTTAGTAGTAATGAACGCTAGACATTGGTCACTTTAAGATCGCATTAAAATACAGCAAAATGATTATTCCTGCCGCCATCAATAAGTTATGTTCATTTACAAAAAAAAGTGATCCACCTCTACGTGCCAAAGGTGAGGCAATCCTACGGGGTAACGCACTGTATGGATACCTCCGCGTTTCCTCCAATTAAATACCGTTGAGCCAAACGTCACGTGCAATACCCCGGGCAAGCCAACGTGACACCGCCCCCCCAGTGAAGTATCATATGCTGATGAGGAGTATTTTAACCATGAAGGGAACCGGATTCAACACGTTCTGCACCAAAAAATTCCAGAGCAATATTATCAGCTGCCAGCACAAACTTGCACCCACCACTCAGCCAAATTGTAATAGGTGGGCACAGGAGTGCTCGACGCGACAGACCTATATTCGGTGGCCGAGGACATCACTGCTGCAGCAGGGCTAGCCATACATCGACTCTCAGAGTGTGGCTTTGTAACTCCCAAGAAGCAAAGGAACAAGGGAGACCAAACTGCTGTCATGCTGATAGTGAGAAGAAGCATTTGCTAAGGGTGTAGACTTAAGGGCCCAAGAAGCCGTGAAATATGGCTTGGCTTCAAGGCCGCCACACGACGGAGCCTAGTGCGCCTCGCCCCAGACTTGGAATGTGCGTTGTGCTGCAAGCCTGGCCGTTTGTAGAGGAGCTTGCCTGTGGCAGTAACCTTAAAACGCTTGTCAATAGATCCACGGGACTTTGGTTTCACTGCCGCAACGCGAACTGCTCGACGCATACAGAGACTGTACGGCGCGGGCAGCCAGGCGGAGTCCATATGGCAGCCGACCACTGGGTTTCCGCAGTGAGAAAGATTGGTCAGCATATCCATGACTCTTACCTTTGAGGCTTGCATCTGCCTCCCTTCAGCTGTGCAGCCCTTGCTAACCACTTGCGAAGCGCCACAAAGATAAGAAGGCACCTGAATTATGTGGCTCGTGGGAGGCTTGCTAAGCTGAGGGAGGGCAACCGCTCTCACAACAAACAGTCCCGGGAGCCTTCTGCAGCTTTTAGGGACGCCCCTGGATGGACAAACGACGTTCTCAAGAGTTCTTAAGATCTCCCTTCGAACGATAATTCGTCCTCCACATCGGGAAAAGGCGCCTCTAGAATCTCTCTTCGCCAATAAATCACACGAAGATCGTTCAAATGCCGTTCTCAGAGACCGGCTTAGTCCCAAACCAGCGCCCACATCTACTATGGACGCAGTCGCCGTTCCTATGAAAAGTGTTATGGGACACGCAACGGCGATGACCAAGAGAAGTGGCAACAGCTTCCCAGGATACCGCTTTGATGCTCGGCTGCTACTCGGGTTCATCCGGCTCTGGCCCTGCTCAATTCGTGACTGTGGTGGCTTTGTGCCTTCCTTCATGTCCAATCTTTCCGGAGCATTTTTGTGAGTATGAGGAGAAAAAATCTGAGATTCCAAGGAGCCGGGATCCATCCGCTCAGACTCTCTCGGGGCAGTCTGTAATGCACTGTGGGTGGTTGGTGCTTTTTGAATGACGGAAGCCACGCATCGGTTTCCCCTGCCTGGGGCCCATGCACGTTGAGAAATCGCTGGATCCGTCCGCTTTGGATGCCTTACCTGTGGAGAAAAGCTCCGGCTCGCC